TCCCTTCATAAATGATCTTTTCTCAGGCTGTACACAATTTCTTTTGTGGTTTTGTGAGTTTGGTTTAAGCCATGTTTAGGCTTAAGTCACTATTGCTTGCAATAAGTTACTAATAATATTCCTTCTCATCTTGCCACACTTATTTCAGGTGTCTTATAACTGGTCTTTTCCCCACCTTTTTCTGTATCCCTCCAGCACAGCACATTCTTTATGTTGCCTGTTTCATTCTTCAGCATCATTAAATAAACTAGGGAAAGTGAAATTACACTTGTTGGGCCTTGCCAGCTATGCTGACCCATCCCCTTAGATCTACCAAGTTTTAGACTCTTCCTGCTGGGTTCTTGCCCAGCCTTCTCTCCTTTTCCTCCCCTCTCCCCCCACCTCCGCCGTTTTTCTAGAATTGGTAATGATGCCTCTGGGTGTTGTGAAAATTGAATGTTCAAACTATTAGTTAAAATGTTGGTGGGTCAAAACCCACCCAGAGGCACGTCGGAAGGCAGGCTTGGTGATTTGTTTGCAAAAGGCCATAGCTGTGACAACCCTGTGAAGCAGTTCTACTCTGCATACGTGAGCTCATCAGATTTCAGAAGTGACTCAGTGGCACCTGGGCTGCGGTCACCGTAAGGCTTGAAGGCAGCTAAAAACAAGAGAACGGAGACGGAGAGATTAAGGCAGTGTCCGCACCTTCCTACTGCCACGACCTTCTACTACAGCTCCTCACGTGGGGGTGACCCCCACCATAGCATTATGTTTGCTGCCACTTCATCACCGTCATTTTGCAGTTGTTATGAATCGGGTGACCCCTGTGAAGGGGTCGTTCGATTTCCAAAGGGGTCTCGGCCCACAGATTGAGAACTGCGGGATTAAGGGTTGTACGAGAGTTGGGAGGATTTGGGATGGAGTGTCACAGATGGGTGAGAAGGGGTAACTAATGAAGATGACTAACCAGGGGTTATACGTAGTATCTAGAATAGAGAATGAAGCTGCTGTTGTCCTTAATGACATCATTTCACCAAAAAGCCCAGTGTTTTGCTATAAATAAACCAAAGATTTGTACCTTCATATACAGTGCATAACTTTGGGAACCAAACAATGCAGGTTTAGTTACACTCTTAAAATGTCAATTTTTGTGACACCAGATTGTCATATGCTAAGAAACTATCCCAACCCACTCCTTAGAACTGTGTGCAAGTTACATGGACCTAAGCATCTGACAAAGGGTGTCATCTTTTGCTGACATGTGTTTTGACAATTTGGACACTTTCTGTGTTCTGGATTGTAGAGCTGCTAGCTAAGTAAGTTGATAGCTCAGCGGAAACAAATTATTTAAAAGAATAAAAACAGTGTAGTTCTCTCCAGTAAAATAGCAACAAGTCCATTCTGCACTAGAATTTTTGCCATTCCTCAGTCAATGACTGATCATTTTCTGATTAATTTCGGAAGAATAAGGTGAATTTCAGGCAAGTGATATGTGCCCCAACAACTTACATCATTAAAGAACATCTTTAAACATTTTTCCTTCTCTTTTATCTGACTCCTGTTACATTTCTATTGTCAGTATTGTTCACCTTGAGAATGAATGGATATGAAATCGTTGAATAAAATTTTTCAATTATAGAATGAGAGTATCTAACCTAGGTGGAAGTCATTAGGGATATAATTCTCAGTGAAATAGGAATGATCCCTAACTTTATAGAAATGACTGAGTGCTTACATCCTGATGCTCCTCTGACGATTACAGGCATGAACGTGACTCACACTAAGAATCGGTGTCACTCCTCTCCCTCTGCCCCATCGATGTGGTAACACTTCCATCATCAGGAGACAAGGCTAATTCTGTCTTTATCCACCTCTGTGGATTGCTGTAACAGCTGCCTTTCCCTTTAATCTAGCACACTTACTCTTGTCAAAGAACTTTTACAAACACATTACTGATGTAAATTCCTCTTTATCTCTCTCCAACTGCACATCTACCCACAGTATATGGTCAGAATCTGTAGCATGTTATTAAAAAGTCAGTTCCTAATCCCCAGCCTGTATTTGCAGCCTGTTGCATATGCTGTTTACCCTTCACTCGTGAGTTCATATATTGGCTTGTTTTATATTTCTGTACCCATGTTAGTAGACTCAGTGCCAAAAGATGAAAGCATATGTCTTCTTCATTCTAACTCACAGTGCTTCTGCACGGCTTCTGACTCATAACTAGCTGTAGCTCTTTGAAGAAATAGTACCTGACATCAGTAAATTCAAAATCTGTGTGATGGATGGGTAGCTTGATAAACAAACACTACCTAGGCAATACTCACTTTTTCCTCCTGGAACCCTCGCAATGACTGTATTGAATTATTCTTGGGCTGAATTAATTAAGCCATCTGGATTCAAGCATTAAGTAACAGCCCCACCAACTCTATAGTGATGATTAACTCTATGAATTGCTGAATTTTGTGTCATACTAGAATTTTCACTTAAATTTTGCTAACATGAATACAACTGAAAATACTCTTAAGATTATATATCATTCTGAATTTATAAACTAAAAGAAAATATACATACTAAAAGATTGTACTCCCTTTCTCTTTATCTGTTCTTGCTTTTAAAAAGTTATATATTGTAATCAAGTATATATTTATTTAGTTTGACTATATTCATAGCTATTAAAATTCTTAGAGATAGATGATTTTAAAGGGCCAATTACCATGCCTTTGGACAGGAAACACAGTATTTGTTACTTAGAATTGAAAAAGACAGAAATCGGCAGGTGGGGGAGGAGGGGAAAAAATGAGGAGCTGATCCAAAGGGTTCAAAGCATTTTCAAATGCTTTGAAAATGATGATGGCAGCATATGTACAAATATGTCTGACACAGTGGATGATTGTATGAGTTGTGATAAGAGATGTAAAAGTCCACAATAAAAAAAAAAATCTAAATTCTTTTTACTATAAAATAATACTAGTTTGAAATTAAATTTTGATAAGTTAAATAGAAGAAACATAGCATTTAAAAACAGTATTAGTGAACCAGTAAAATTTTCCCCAAGTGCTAGATTATAGTTTATCAGAAAAGGAAATATTTTATTACATAGTTTATGTGACTAAGCCTGAGACCATGGCAACATAAGATGAAATAATTCAGGTTATATGATTAGTAAAAAGTAACAGTTTAAACAGATATATTTAGAAATGTGTGTATGGGAAATTTTTTTATAAGTTTTTCCATGTGAACTAAATTATATATCCATTTTCCTTCCAAAAGAAATGATTGTCATTGCTGTATTTTCAGGGTTTGCGAGATCAATTTCCAAGGTCATGTAGGAAAGGCACATGAGAAAAGCATGAGGTTTGAGAAAGGGAGGGGTGGGGATCATATTTGAATTTTAAAAACATTGTTATATCTAAACAAAAACCTTTGTCCACTGTGACTTTGTAACCACTAGTTTATAGTCATTCAAAAATAGCAACAACTTAACTGTATACATGCAAATTGTTTCTATATAATAAAAACATTTGCTATTTTCCTCTAATCATATATTTATATGGACCCAATGATACTTTGTTGAGGGTTTTTTTGTGGGGGGGCGGGAGTTGTATTTTTTTTTAATTCCAAATAATGGTGAAAACGAATTTTCACACCTCATTGCTTATTGCTGTGTCTTTTCCTTTTAGCTAGTTTGAATCCCACAGGGATATCTAAGGTAGATTTACAGTGATAAATGTGAAGTATAGAGATTGTATATCGTCACAGTAACATCAAATCAACTGGATTAAAATTATGTCACTTGAAATTTGGCACTGTAGATTTTTTTCATTTTATTAAAATGATATCTCTATATCTGTACACAAAAATAGAATTGGATATCTTCCTGTTCTTTGTATAATACATTTATATATTTATCTTTGCAGCCTGAGGAAGAACTTGATCCTGAAGAGAGGGACAACTTCCTCCAACAGCTTTATAAGTTTATGGAAGACAGAGGTATTTCCATTAGTAATTATTTAAAATTAGTCATCAGTTTAATAGTTTTAAATTCTAGTCCTAGGCATTGTTTTTTGATTTTGGGGTTTGTTTGTTTTTTTGTATCATGGGCTATGGCTATGGATTTCAAATAAAGCCTAAGGATAAGTTATAGCTGACAATAGTTAAATTTTTGGAAGCAAAACAAGCTATCTTGATACGTATAGTGGAAAGTCATCTAGCCTGAATCTGGTCTCCACACATTCAACTTAATATCAGATCAGACCCTCTCCAATCAGGATAGGGTTAACAGAATTAGAAGAAATGGACTGATTTAAAACTAGTGGTTCTAGGCAGCTTGGCCTCCTGTATCCTCCATGAGTGTCAGAGTAACCCTGTTCTCTAGGGTTTTCAGGGCCTGAGGGTTTGGCTATGCATCAGGAGGCCTTTCTTTAGAGATACCTAGGATGGTTTTTAGCTTCTAGCCTTTTCATCAGCACATGATAGATAACTCTAATTAATGAAATTTTGGGAATTAGAAGTTGCTAGCTATGTTTTCAAGTTAGTATTTTTCTTTTTCTTTTTTTTTTAAATTTATTTTTCATTTAAGTAAACATTTTCTTTCTGTTCTCTGATATTAAAAAGGTACCCCAATCAACAAACCACCTGTGTTGGGCTACAAAGATCTCAATCTCTTCAAACTCTTCAGATTAGTTTATCATCAGGGTGGATGTGACAATGTAAGTATAGTATTGTTCTTTGAAATATGTACTTGTCTGATGCAAAGGTAAATCATATAATGTTGTATTTCATATGTGCTTTAGAGAATAAGCACATTTTTAAATAGACGTAGACTAATTCTGTAAATAATTATTTCCCTTTGTAAATGTTAATAAATAAAAATTTATTTTCCAGATTGATAGTGGTGCTGTATGGAAGCAAATTTATATGGACCTTGGCATTCCTATTTTGAATTCAGCTGCTTCCTACAATGTAAAAACTGCTTATAGAAAGTAAGTGGTGTAGTTTATTCCTCAAAGAATACCTATTTGTAAGAAATGTTTTTATTTACTTTTTATTAAACTAAAATACATTAATTATGGAAGATTGAAGTTAGAAAAGGTATATAATTCTGGCTGGACCAGAGCATGTACCTGGGTAGAGATAAGAGCTGGAAACACAGCCAGGAGGCAAAGGGCATTTATAGAGTTCTAAATAAAGGCATGTACATATGTAAATATATTTATATATGAGGATTGGGAAATAGATTTCTGTGCATATATTTATAGGTCTAGTATTAAGGTAGCTGATGGAGATTGGGCCTCCACTCAAGTACTCCCTCAATGCAAGAATACTTTGTTCTATTAAACTGGCATTCCATGATGCTCACCTTCCCGACACGATCGCTGAAGACAAAGCGGGTGCATAAGCAAATGTGGTGAAGAAAGCTGATGGAGCCCAGCTATCAAAAGATATAGTGTCTGGAGTCGTAAAGCTTGAAGGTAAACAAGCAGCCATCTAGCTGAGAAGCAACAAAGCCCACATCGAAGAAGCACACCAGCTTGTGTGATTATGAAGTGCCGAAGGGATCAGTTATCAGGCATCACAGAACAAAAAATTCTATCATTGGGTGCTCACATCCTCAATAAAATCGCTGAAGACAAATGGGTGCATACGCAAATGTGGGGAAGAAAGCTGATGGTGCCCAGCTATCAAAAAATACAGTGTCTGGTGTCTTAAAGGCTTGAAGGTAAACAAGCAACCATCTAGCTCAGAAGCAACAAAGCCCACATGGAAGAAGCACATCAGCCTGTGTGATCACGAGGTGTCGAAGGGATCAGGTATGAGGTATCAAAGAACAAAAAATCTTATCATTGTGAATGAGGGGGAGTGCAGAGTGGAGACCCAAAGCCCATCTGTAGGCAACTGATGGGCCTTACAGAAGGGTTGCGGGGAGGAGATGAGCCAGTCAGGGTGCAGTGTAACAATGATGAAACATACAACTTTCCTCTAGTTCCTAAATGCTTCTTCCCCACCCAGTGTCATGATCCCAATTCTACCTTACAAATCTGGCTAGACCAGAGCATATACACTGGTACAGATAGGAACTGGAAACACAGGGAATCCGGGACGGATGATCCCTTTAAGACCAGTGGTGAGAGTGGCGATATCGGGAGGGTGGGGTAGAGAGGGGGAACCAATAACAAGGACCTACATATAACCTCCTCCCTGGGGTGAGGGGCAACAGAAAAGTGGGTGAAGGGAGACGTCGGACAGGCCAAGATATGACAAAATAATTTATAAATTATCAAGGGTTCATGAGGGAGGGGCGAGTGGGGAGGGAGGGGGAAAAATGTGGCAGTGATGCCAGGGGCTTATGTGGAGAGCAAATGTTTTGAGAATGATGAGGGTAATGAATGTACAAATGTGCTTTATACAATTGAAGTATGTATGGATTGTGATAAGAGTTGTGTGAGCCCCTAATAAAATGATTTTTTAAAAAAAAGCTGGAAACACAGGGAAGCCAGGACAGATAACCCCCTCAGGACCAATAATGAGAGTAGTGATACCAGGAGGCGAAGAGGAAGGTGGGGGGAGAAACCGGGAACCCATCACAACTACATATATACCAGGAGGCGAAGAGGAAGGTGGGGGGAGAAACCGGGAACCCATCACAACTACATATAACCCCCTCTCTTGGGGATGGACACAGAAAAGTGGGTGAACGGAAACGTTGGACAGTGTAAGACATGAAAACATAATAATAATAAATTATCAAGGGTTCGTGAGGGAGGACGGGAAAAAATGAGCTGATACCAAGGACTCAAGTGGAAAGAAACTGTTTTGAAAATTATGATGGCAACAAATGTGCTTGACGCAGTGGATATATGTATGTATTGTTGATGAGTTGTGTGAGCCCCTAATAAAATGATTTTTAAAAAAAGAAGAAAGAAAAGGTGTATAAAGAGTTTTAAGTTAATAGATCCCTGTTGTAGAGCAGTTCCTGGGTGCCAACACTTTCTTGACTGCTAACTGAAGATTTGCATTTTGAGCCCACCCAGGGGTGCCTTGAAAGGCCTTGGTGATCTGCTTCCAAAAGTCACAGTCTTGAAAACCAAAGGGACAGTTTTACAAGGGGGGACCCCCCAAAACTGGAAAAAAGCTCCACTGTGCGTAGCATTCTTAGTATGTATTTTGAGCAACTTGCTCGGACTTAGTGCGCCCAGTGGCATCACCTTGCAAGGTTCTCTCTGATCACCAGTATTTTTTTCGTAAAAGCAGTTTTACGCACACCTCGTTTTTTGTGATGACCGATTCAAGAGAACAGCATTACTGGAAAAATGCAAGTGTTATGACTGGTTTTTTCATTTAAAATAAGGTGAAATGTCGATTGATGACAAATCTTGTTCTGGAGGTCCATCAACTTCTGAATAGATGAAAATGTCAACTAGTAGTGCATTTGGAGTTTATTCCACAGGTTAGATGGCTAAGCTTTCTATTTAGAGGTTCTGAAAATGTTGCATAACAGTATGCGACAAAAAAGGCCTGATTTGTGGCAGACAGGGACTGCTTTTGCCACCACCACAGCACACCTGCTCATAAAGCCATCTCAGTGGACCAGTTTGGCAAAAAAAACTGCATGTCTCTCTTTCCCCACACACCTGACTCACCTGACCTCGCTCCAGGTGACTTCTTTTTGTTTCGATGAATGAAGAGGGACAGGGAAGGACAGCAATTTGATGATGAAGAAGAGGTGAAGAAAAAAAGGAGGTGCTGTCATCCAAACCAATGTGTTTGAAAAATGTTTTCAAGAATCACAGATTTGAAAAATGTATTAAGTGTAAAGGAGAGCACTTTAAAGGTGATAAGGTTATTTAGTAAAAAAATTTAAATATCAGGGCAAGATATGACAAAATAATAATTTATAAATTATCAAGGGCTCATGAGGGATGGGGGAGCGGGGAGGGAGGGGAAAAATGAGGACCTAATACCAGGGGCTTGGGTGGAGAGGAAATGTTTTGAGAATGATGAGGGCAATGAATGTACAAATGTGCTTTACACAGTTGATGTATGTATGGATTGTGATGAGAGTTGTGTGAGCCCCTAATAAAATGATTAAAAATAATAATAATAAAAATTTAAATACAGGCTTTGAAACACAAATTTTGTTTTTTGGGGGTACCCCCTTGTATTCTTAAAATAATTCAGTACATCAAGTTTTCTCTCACATTGTCTGGATTTCCTTTTCAAAATTGGGTGCATACAATGTTTACGGTGTTAAATTATGATACACATTTATAAAGCTTTAAATCAAAACTACGAAAAACTGTTCAGTTATCACAAGTTCATATTTCTCTGGAAGGCATTTCATTATTTGATCAGCATGTCTGATTATAATCCTGCCTGAAACCCCAAGGAATCAGTAGCACAATTAAAGTACTTTTTATGTTACTTGAGTTTTTCTTTTAAAAAATAAATGTGTGTTTAATAATGTTCTTATTAACTTCAAAGACTTAAGATTTTTTTAACATCAAATATTGGTTGTTTAGGTATCTCTATGGTTTTGAGGAGTACTGCCGCTCTGCAAATATTCAGTTCAGAACTATTCACCACCATGAACCAAAAGTAAAAGAGGAAAAAAAAGACTTAGAAGAATCAATGGAAGAGGTGCTAAAAGAAGATCAAGAAATGCCTTTAGTAGAAGTGAAGAGCGAACCTGAGGAAAATATTGATTCAAATAGTGAAAGTGAAAGAGAAGAAATAGAATTAAAATCTCCAAGGGTAAGCAGTGAATACTAATTTTATCTGATTTATTTAAATATTATTTGATTTTAAAAGTCATTATAGACATATTCCTATATATACAAAATGTTCACAGAGAACCCTCATGCACTCATCATATAGAATTCTAGCTCATGTTTCCAAATAAATGAGGACATTTTCATAAGTATATTTATTGCAACATTATTGTATTACTAAGAAATGAGAGAAAATCTTGGGGAAGGTAAATTTATGCTACCCTTATACTATGGCATACTCTATAGATGTTTTACATAAGATGTGGATTTTTATGTAATATGAAAATAAGTCCACAAAAACCTGTTGAGTGACTAGGAAATATTTAGAATAATATGTCTAAAAATGGAATTTCTGTGTAAAAAGTATACAGAGATAGATTCTGATAGATAATTGTTGCTCTTATTTATATACCCCAAAACATCCAAAGGGCACTAGCTGTGTGCCAGGCACTTAATTAGACCTAAGGTATAACTGTGCATAAGACAAAATACTCAACATCCTAGAACTTAAATTCTAGTGTTTCTGAAAAACAATAAAATATAAAACAATGACTGTGTCCCTTTTTCCCTTCTGCCTTTGAAGTATAAAATGCACATACTCAAGAACTGGAAAGAATAGTTATTATATGTATATTTTCATGTACATATATCATTTTTAAAAACTTGGTATTTTCAAAGTTGGAATTGTGCCAGTTTGTGCAGAATTTTGTATAGTGAGGTTTATATAGAAGTGTTTATTTAGAATTCATCTAGTAAAGTGACTGACCAATTTTGTGGCCATGCTGCAGCATGACAGAAACTGTTAGAGGTAGAACAAGTTAATGCTGGTCCAGTGCGCTTCCAGAAACTTGTTCAGTTTTATACTATGGGCAGTTGTATGCTCTGCTATATGGTTGCTGAAGAACCCTGGTGGTGCATTGTTACTAATTGGGCTGTGATCTGTAGGGTCAGCAGTTTGAAACCACCAGCCGCTCCAAGAGAGAAAATGGGGCTTTTTGCTCCTGCAAATGGTTCCAGCCTCAGAAACTCACAGGGTCAATTCTGCCCTGTTGGATAGGATCGCTAGGAGTCAGTATTGACTCGATGGGAGTGGGTTAATAGGGTTGCTGTTAATCCAAATGGACTGGATGTCAGTGAGTTTACGTCTGGGTATAGCTAAAGATCATAGTATAGTAGCCCTAGATAGAATTAGTTAATTTACATGGATCATTCTCATTCTTTAGCAAGGAGACAGGTGTATGCCTGAGTTGATTGGTTTTCAGGGTCCCATCTCAAGCCAAAGAGAAGATTTATTGTTGTTGAACTTTTAAGAAAAAAGATTTCTCTTTTATCCTCTTTGTAGTGATAACTATTTTAAAGCTTTTATTCCTTCTAGGGACGAAGGAGAATTGTTCGAGATGCAAATTGTATTACAAAAGAAAGTGAAGAGGAGAAACCAGAAGACAAATTACAAGATAATGACACAGAAAGTAAGGATGTAGATGATGACTATGAAACTGCAGAGAAAAACGAAAACGAGCTACTCTTGGGGAGAAGAAATGCACCAAAACCCAAAGAGAAGAAAGTGAAAAGGCAGGAGGACTCTGACAAAGATTCAGAGGAAGAGGAAGAGAAAAGCCAAGAGAGGTACATTATCTTGTTTGTTCTCCAGAAGTACCCGTCGGGGTGCAGCAGTGCTGTGTTCCTGCTTAGAGATTCAGGTGTGAGGGAACGTTTCTTATTGGGACTTCCATTCCTCTTGTCTAATGAAGGTGAGACACATTGTGAAGATGATGTGTATCGCCTTTCGGAATTGGAGAATATACTGGTCGCACCATTTTAATAGCACTTGTGCCCTAAACAGTGGCCTCACAGAAGGCTGCGCCACCCAGTCAAAAGAAAGGTCCTGCAGTTGACAGCAGGGAAGGGAGCTGGAGAAAAATGGAGGAAGTGGACAAGAGGAAACAGCGACAGCAAAAATTCCATTTTAAAAAAGGTACAATGTGGGAAAGCTAACAAACACATGGGTGCACAGTACTAGAAGATATGTATGTGTGTTAGCTTTATTTAGGTCAGTTTTCTTTTTTCAAGTTACTGTATTTGGATAAGTGGCATGCACCCCTGATTCTTTGGAAAGTGAAGTCTTGCCCCACATCACACCAATCAAGTTCAGCTTTTAGATGTCCATCCTGTTTGCTGTTGAGTGAAAACTGTATTTTTCCCTCATGTCTTAAACGTGCATGGTCTAAATTGACTTAAAAATGATGAATGATTAGGCAGTCCAGCTAGATCAAGCGATTGTCAAATCATGCTGTAAGTCTTGCCAAATGCATTTACTGATTTTTTTTATATACTACCAAATGAATTTCAAATTGGCTACAACATAACCTAGTTACTTGTCATAAAACTCTCCTCCTTAGTTTTTATTATTATGTGATGCTAGATACTCTGGAAATTTGAGTTTTTAGCACAATTTAGGGAAAGTGGTTTCTTGCAACCAACTAGCGATACCTATCTGAAAATTAGCTGTGGAAAAATATTTGGAAAAATAGAATAATTGAGAAAGGTAATGTCACAATTCCATATAAATAGGTGTATTGAGTTATAAAAATTCGATTTGGATTTAGTGAATAAAGAAGGTTCTGTAGTGAAATTTAATTAGGATTAGGAAAAATGGGAAGAAATAATGTGGGTATAAAATTTTAAATATAGGTAGTTACTGACTTAACGACAGCTTTGTTGGGATAACTCCATCTTAATCAGTTCTGATGGAAGTGTAGTACTTGATTATTTCTTTTTGTTTTAATATTGCTGCTTTGGTTTGTCTTTGGGGAGTAGCACGAAAATGATAACAGCAATTTATGTTCTGCAACATTATATGCTGTACATAATACTAATGATAAGTACAAATAAAGCACAAACTAGGGTCTTAAGTTTGGTACTTCTAACTCAGGTATGTCTAAGTTGGAGACAATGACAATGAATTTGTGCAATTGTCAACAATACCAAAAAATTCATAGTTTGAAATGTTAAAATTCACCATTAAATATGAATATATACATATTTTTCAATGTCTTTCTAATTATAAAAAGCATAACAGGTATAGAGAATGTTTAATAGACAAGTATAAAAAATAATTCTAACATTTAAATAAAACTTGAATATACTGACAACAAATATAGCCTGTATCCTCTTTCTGTAGAATCATGGAAATGGGGAGACTGTTTTATCTGTAGAAATTTCTACTTAAAGTAGTTTCTTTCATAGTTTTTGAAATTACTTTATCAAGATTATTAAGGAAAGTATCCTTGGAGAGAAAATATTCATACCACCAATGGCCTGTCAGCTACTGCTTCATGCAGAATTTCCTAGTGGACATGAAAACAGTGCCCTATATTTGTTATAGAATACAATATCCCTTAAGCTTTTTTACAGCGTGGATACTAGAATGACCTGTGATGTAAATCTAGTCTGCTTTCTGCAGGGTTAACACAGAATGGTTTACTGTAAAAACATTTTAAATGTCGTTGGACCTCCCTGTGTTACTGCCCTTTATACTTGACTATCAATGCAAAGGAAAGCTGCTGGGAGATGAGTGAAAACAAATAGAAACCAATACAAGATAAGTAAAGCTTTGTTGTCCCGGGGCTGGCTGTTCCACAAGTGTAGCAAGTGACCTCCTATTCAAATACTTACAATTACTCTGTGCAGTCGGAAGCCCACAAAATATAAATTAGTTGAAAGAGATGTTTACTAATGTAGATAGCCCTTGTTCACTGTTTTGCCCACATATACAAAAAAAGAAAAAAGAAAGAAAGAAAGAAAGAAAGAAAGAAAAGAGCCATTCTAAATGGAACAGTAGATAGTGTAGTTGCAGGAAGTTATAAAAATAGTTTTAGATCAATTTTTAATAAGGTGGCACTGGAGTATGAATCCTAAAGATTTTTTCACCTAATCTTCTGATTTTGTTGTATCAGAATTGATTTATTTCACTGTCTCTTCATTAATTGTGGCTACTGATTGGCCTTAGGAAATACGGATTTTTGGTACAGTGCACCTTTACACAATTAAAGAATCCCTAATAGGTAGCTCATAAAGTCTTCTCCTTCTCCTCCTTCTTCTCCTCCTCCACTGACGTGCTACTAAGGTAATGCTAAGTCTATGGATATTCTACAAGTTGGGTTCTTTTAGCTCAAGTTACTTTGTTTCCACTAAGTCACTAGTAGCATTATCACTGTTATAACTTACTGCAGGGGAGAAACTGAAAGCAAATGTGATTCTGAAGGAGAGGAGGATGAGGAGGGCTCGGAGCCCTGCCTAACAGGAACCAAAGTGAAAGTAAAATATGGACGAGGGAAAACCCAGAAAATTTATGAAGCCAGTATTAAAAGCACTGAAATTGATGATGGAGAAGTTTTATACTTGGTACATTACTATGGTTGGAATGTCAGGTAAGCAAGAAAATATTTTTTTTCTTTTCTAAGCATGATTATTGGGGGCTCGTACAACTCTTACCACCATCCATCTATCCAGCCAGCCAGCCAGCCAGCACATTTGTTGCTATCATCAGAAAATGCTTTCTTTTAAAACTCCCTTCAGTGAGGAGAGCCATCAATGGAAAGTTGATGGAGGACTAAAGCAGAGGGAAGGTACACATTTTGAAAGTGCACCTACATTTTGCATTTTCCAAATCTACATTTCCACTCTTTCATTATCTGTCGGTGTTTCCAGCCAGGAACACAGCAGTAGATGAACAAGTTGAATTTATTGATCATTTGCAATGAGGGAGAACACATACTTTGTGGGACTCAGTGGCGGCGCCCCAGAGAGAGGGTGTTGGCCCCTCAGTGAATGCTCAGGGTGCCGCCAACAGGAGGAGCACAGTCTCAGGGTCTGCAGCAGCTCCTCATCCTGCATTTCTATTAGTACTGCTTAGCTTGTCAGAAATAAAGCCTGTGCCACTCCTCTTATAAGCCAAGCTTTTTTTTAATATTAAAAAAATGTATCTGTTTCTTAGGACTAAGGAAGTGGAGCTTTGGTCTAGGTTGGGTGCTGAAGGGAAGCAAGTGCCGACTAGATCAAGGCTGAGAATGAAGTCGGTAAAGCAGCAGCACTCACTCGTAGAAGTCAGGAAAGGAGGACGTTGGGTCATTTTCCTGGCTTGGACAGTGTTTGTGTTTTATTTTTCTGGCTTAGGCAGGATGCGTCTGGTTCTTTGTCTTGCCCATCATGGTCACAGAGTGGCCTTGTGTGATGTTGACCCTCTGTGCAATGTGTAGCTTCCAGACGACGCCACAGCCTGGCTGTGAGGGGCAGATGAGCTCCTAGCAACACGAGGCCCCGCTGATAGTGCCTGTCAGCTGCTTCAGCATGTTAGGGCCTGCTTTTCTCTTCCTCCTGTAGGAAGTCTTTGTGGTTGTTATCTCTGGTTGCCCCTACTTACTTGGAACCAGACTGTAAATCAGGAACTATTTACTAGATGTGTTCTCTATTAAACCTCAACTCCTTAATCTCTAGATTGGAGAAAATAATTGCAGTGCCTTATCTTAACACATTAGGGGCATAGAACAGTGTCTGCCTTGGAGAAATTACTCAATAAATGTTGGCTGTTTTATTTGGTGGGGCTAAAGAAGGATATAGGTTTATTGAGTAGCAGACAAAACGGTTAGAATTGTGTTTCTCTTCACACTGCGGCTGGACTCTGAGAGCAGGGCTGCATGTGCCCACTTGGAGTCACGGTCTTGGCCGTCGTGGCACGCCCGAGCCTTTTCTTCCTCGCTGTTCAGTCAGCCCATCAGTAGCGTGTGTTTATGTTCCTCCTCCTTTCCAGACTTTCTCTTTCCTCTCTTCCTTTCTTATCTTTTTATGTTTGACTTATAACTCTTTTCCGTAGTTTTTTATTATATGCACAAGTTGTTCCCAACTGGTTATCTTATTAATTAGTTACTCAATTGGCTATTCATGTGGTTAGTGATTTCTTGATGTCCTTTCATCCCCCTAAAAGCTGGTTTAATTCTCCTCTGTTAATTAAAATAGAACCTTTATGGTCTCTAGAAAATCTAGTCTGATTCTAAAACAGGGGAGCATTTTCAGTTAACGAGGAGAATCCTGGCCTCTAGTGGAGAATCTCTGGGACCACACTTAATTGGCTGTGTTAGTGCTAGCACAGTGGTTCTCACCCTTCCTGACGCCGAAGTGCTTTCATACGGTTTCTCAGGTGGTGGTAACCCCCAACCATAAAACTAGTTCCGTTGCCACTTCATAACTGTAATTTTGCTACTGTTATGAATCATAATGTAAATACCTGATATGCAGGATGTATTTACATTATTACAAATTGAACATGATTAAACATAATTAAAGCATAGTGATTAATCACGAAACAATATGTAATTATATATTGTGAAATATTTATGTGTTTTCTGATGGTCTTAGGAGACCCCAGTGAAAGGGTTATTCGACCCCCAAAGGGGTTGCTACCCACAGGTTGAGAACTGCTGTGCTGGAAGTACTTAGGTGTGGATTGGGCCAGTGTGCTCTGGAACAAGTATATTGGAGGTCTGGCCTGTGCTTCTGAGTCATGAGATTTTGGAATTGGCAGAGTTACTTACTCTTGTGGGCTGTTGGCTCATACATCCTGATGGAAGTGTTAGGTGCTCCCAAGTCATTCTGGCTATCCTTCCAAGACTGATTTTTTGCTCTCTGGCAGCCCACAGTACTTTCAGTATTATTATATGAGAGTGCTTCAAGAAGTTTGTGGGAAAATCCCATTATATTTTAATTCCATTTTGACACCTCTTTGCATTACACTTAGACCAAATATGATTTTATCCTATCAATATATATTCTTATATACTTATGTAATGTAAGAGCTATTATTAAGTGCCTGAAAGTTTAATTTCTTATTTGCCATTGACTAGTAAATTGAACTATCTTAATATATAAAAGTATTTTTTACAGAAGTATGGAAAATGATGGGTTAAAGCTTTATACTTGAGCTAAACAAAATAAACTTAGATAAAGGAAATAAAATAGCTCTTAAAAATGTAGTCTCATAATTCAGAATAAGTTTGATAGAAACATAAAAGGCTAGGGAGAGTTAGGAGGAAAAGAGTTGGAAAGGACTTGATAAAATAATGTGGATGAACCAATCGTATTGCACGTTTGTGTTTACCTTAGTAAGGAGCCCTGGTGAAGTAGTGGTTACGTGCTGGAGTGCAGTCCTCATGGTTGGCAGCTGGGAATCGCCAGCAACTCCACAGGAGAAAGGCTGGGCTTTTCTAGTCCAGTAAACGGCTACAGTGAAGGAAACCCACAGAGGGTCCATTGACTTGGTGGCAGTGAGCGTTGGACCTTACTAGTGATTAGGAGACATGATTAACACGACAGCAGTTAAAAACCGTGACCATCACCTTTGCATTCCTCAGTCACTAGCCTGCAACCCAGTGCAGGATCAGTTTATTTAATTAAGCTTACATCTGAAGGAAGTGTGGAAACACAATGTGGTTTAAATAGTCTTGAATCCATTTATGGCTTGCTTACTCAGTGCAGAATAAGCCTGTTTGATTAGTACATTCTCTTGCCTTGTCCCATGAGTGTAGTAGGAATACAACGTCTTTACTACACTGGTTGACACATAGTGCCAGCAAGCCAACTACTGTTTTTCCCATCTCTGCCAACGATAGTCACAAATTTCTTAATCTATATCAGGGTGTTTTATTGTGAAAGCTTTATATGTATTATATATTCTTTATTTTAAGGTATGATGAATGGGTGAAGGCTGACAGGATAATCTGGCCTTTGGACAAAGGTGGACCAAAGAAAAAACAGAAGAAAAAAGCTAAAGTAAGTTTATAGAGTCATATCCTGGGTTCAGAAATTGTCAAGTTGAATTGTGTTTTTATAGACCCATTTCTTTGGTGTAATACTCATCTTGATTCTGTTCATTGATAGCCTCTGTTATTACTATTGAGGACCTTAAGAAGTAAAAAGTGGAAGCACAGTACCACATTATGGACAGCAAGGAGAGGGGTGAAGGAGTAGGGACAGTGACAAACAAGGGCTGCGCGCCGTGGCCAGAGAAGGTGGACCGAGCCTCCTCCATTCACAGACCTCTAAGAAGTTTCAGCTGTAGGGAAAAAAGAAGTCTCAACTTGTCTGGATTTTTCAAAATAGCAAATCTCATTTTGAATTTAGATGCTAATATTTTAAGTTCTAAAACATCTTACTGCTTAGTTGTAAATTTACCCACTCTTGAATTTTCAGCCTTTGCCATGTAGATTAACCTGATATTTT